CTCCCGCAGGAGCCTTTTTCTGTATTTCCCTCCTGCCGCAGCAGTAGCCGCAGGAGCCTCATCTGTATTTCTCTACTGCCGCAGCAGTGTCTGCTCCCGCGGGAGCCTCATCTGTATTTCCCCACTGCCGCAGCAGTGTCTGCTCCCGCAGGAGCCTTTTCTGTACTTCTCTACTGCCGCAGCAGTGTCTGCTCCCGCAGGAGCCTTTTTCTGTATTTCCCTCCTGCCGCAGCAGTAGCCGCTCCCGCAGGAGCCTTTATCTGTATTTCCCCACTGCCGCAGCAGTGTCTGCTCCCGCAGGAGCCTTTTCTGTATTTCTCTACTTCCGCAGCAGTGTCCACTCCTGCAGGAGCCTTTTCTTTATTTCGTATACCAAAGGACGTCCAGCACCCCTCTAACATTAAGCCTTGATTTTTGGGGGGTCGTAAATGCACTTATCTTGCTGCTGTCCTGTTTTAATTGCTTTTGGGGGAGCGCTTTTAGGCCGGGCTGGACACCGAGCTCGGACCCGCCCCGGGCTCGGGAGTCTTGCCGAGCTCGGAGCCCTCTCCCTGGACAGCACGCCAAATACACACAACCTTTATTTAATTATACGAAAGTGTGAACTCGTGAAGTGATGTTTATAAACAAATTTCGGGAGGAGCACGCACAGATAATTAACACGGCCAGTTCATCATTAGTGATTACACCATTTATCCAATCAGCGCAAGAGAAAACTCCTATAAATAACCAAGTACGTCCTATCTTCGTTATTTCTCGACTTTCAGCATCCCTCCGCCACCCCGACCCCGCACCTTCAGCATAGTTCTACCCCAGCACGAGGAGAAGCAGTCGGTGGGGTGGGGTGGGGGGGGCGTGCTTTTGGGCCGGGCTGGACACCGAGCTCGGACCCCTCTCCCCCGGGCTCGGGAGTCTTGCCGAGCTCTGAGCCCTCTCCCTGGACAGCATGCCAAATACGCATAACCTTTATTTAATTATATGAAAGTGTGAACTCATGAGATAAGACATTATTGTGTGTATTGTGAATGTGAGAAGCTTGTTTCAAATGAAAAAATAGTATGTAAATTCTGTTAGATTTACATTTACATACATAACAACATACTATGGCTGAACTAATGATTGAGCAAACAATTACTGCTAAAATAATGTTCTTGCTTATTATTTTTTGAGTTGTTTTCCAGTACAAATATCTAAACCTTCTTTAATCAAGATATATTTACTTGAAAAGCAAAATGACTGCGATATTAAGTCTTGTTTTCTGAAAAATGCCCCAAAATTAAGTGAGTTTGTTTTAAAACAAGAGAAAATAGCTGTCAGCGGCGTAAGAAAAATAGACTTAATTTAAAGGGAAAACAAGATTATTTTTCTGACCCCACTGACAGATTTTTTTTTCTTGTTTTAAGCATAAATTCAAATTAATTTTGATAAATTGTTCAGAAAATAAGATTTCATTTGTATCTTCATTTAAGAATGTTTAGATATTTGTACTGAAAAACAAGATAAAAATAATAAGTATTTTTGCAGTGACTGAAAACATTTTTTGAAAATATGGTTCAAAATCTTTTACTGAATTAGAGTAAAACATTTTTTATGAAACGTGTAACTCAGTTTGAAAATATAATAGACGTACGCTTGCTTACATTTTGTGTTCATTTGATCCTGCAACGCACACACAAAATAACTCTCTCTCGTTTTCATAGTACTGGGAATCGGCAATTACCTCATGTTACGATTCCCATGGTGGGTCGCCGTGATTTTGCCAAGTAAGACATGTTCCTGGATCAACATCTTTTGTTGATCCTGGATCAACATTACTGTCCAAAAATATGGACTAAACCCAATCCCTACCCCTAAACCTAACCCTACCCATAATTGATTCCTAAAATCAGTGTGAAATGATAGCTGATTAACAAGGGTGTAGAAGCACCTAACCCTGATCGTAAGCCTAAAACAGATATTTCCTGAAAAGTTATCCCTCAATTCTGATAGGTTAATTTGAATGTTGTTCCAGGATCAACAAGGATGTTGATACAGGAACATGTTGTACTTGGTGAAATCACGGTCACCACACATGGTGACACATGTTATGATTCAGTAGCTCGTGAGGCATCACAGCATCGTAATTGGATCAGGACTAAAGTCGCAACAAACTAACACTTTAACACAAATAGAAAATTCCTTCAGATAGATAGTCGGTTATCTTATTCTGGGTTTTAAAAAAGTCTCTTATGCTCACCAAGGCTGTATTTATTTGATTAAAAATACAGTAAAAACAGTAATATTGTGAAATATTACTACAAATTAAAATAACGGTTTTCTATTTGAATATATTTTAAATTGTAATTTATTCCTGTGATGCAAACTGTATTTTCAGCATTTTTCTTTTTTGAGCCTCACTAACTGCCTCTGGCGTTGAGTGTAGCTAGGTCTCCTCTCGCTTTAGAGAGTTGTTATGCTGAGACCTCCACTCTTAAGAGTCCCCCTACCAGGGTTGAGCATTGTTAGGTTTCCTCTCGTTTAAGAGAGTCATCTTGCTGAAGCCTCCGCTCCCCAGAGCTCCGCTTAGGCAGTAATATGAGTTGTAGGCACTTTCTTTTGAGCCTCACTAACTGCCTCTGGCGCTGAGTGTAGCTAGGTCTCCTCTCGCTTTAGAGAGTCGTTATGCTGAGACCTCCACTCTTAAGGGCTCCTCAACTATGGTTGAGTGTTGTTAGGCTTCCTCTCGTTTAAGAGAGTCATTCTGCTGAAGCCTCCACTTTGCATAGCTCCGCTTAGGCAGTATTAATGTGTAGGCTCTTGAGCCTCACTAACTGCCCCTGGCGTTGAGTGTAGCCAGGTCTCCTCTCATTCTAGAGAGTCGTTATGCTAATATGCAGATTTGCTGCTCAAGAAACATTTCTCATTATTATCAATGTTGAAAACAGTAATATTTTTGTGAACTATGATATATAATTTTTTTCAGGATTCTCTAATGAATAGAACTAACCCCAAACTTTTGAACAACAGTGCACCTATTGACTTGCGAATATGAGCATGTAAATCTGCTCTAGTTGTCATAAGATCATACTACAGAAAAATGCAAAAAAAGAAAGCAAATATCTGACATTTTTAACCGCTGTGTGAAAGTGTTAAAGTTTCTGTGACTGTACAAAGTGCATGAATATTTAATGATGCCAGCTTTAAGGCAGGCTGTCATTTGCTAAACATTTTATCATTGCATTTCACGCACCACACAGAATATCTCTAGCACTGTAATCTGGGTAAAAAGTTGATGCTAACCCACTTTCAAAAGTGGCCTTTACCTGGGGTTAAAAAAGACATTAACCCAGGGTTATGCACAGCGGAATAAAACTAAAAGAAAAAGGAAGAGAAGCATAGAGAGAGAGAGAGAG